CTCAGCAATGGTGAGGTGTTAAACAACTCAGTGAGACCCTGTCTCTAATAAAATACAAAATAGGGCTGGGGATGTGGCTGGTTGAGTGCCTCTGAGTTCAATCCCCAGTACCCCCCCAAAAAAAAGAAGGTGGGGGGAGGAACTGGTGATGTAGCTCCTGGCCCTGGGGTTTGATCAAACCCAGCACTGCAAAAGAAAAAAAAAAAAAAAAACAGTGACAAAGTTGAAAGAGCTAAGAAGCAAGATATATTGTCCCCACCTTGGTCCGTTCGTGATATCTTGACCTAGTCTCCCTATGCCACCTCACTGAAGAACTTTGCAGCACATATATGGTTCCTCACCTTCTAGGGATGTGCCTTTAGCTTCTCTACTTAAGACTTTTCATCCCTACCAGTAGCTATAGTGTCCCCCAAAATTGCAGGAGGCAGTTTAAGAAGTGAGGCTCACTGGGCAAGGTGATGCACATCTGTAATCCCAGCGACTCAGGAGGCTAAGGCAAGAGGATCACAAGTGGGAGGCTAGCATCAGCAACTTAGAGAAGCCCTAAGCAACTTGGCGAGACCCAGTCTCAAAATAAAATATAAAATGACTCGGGGTGTTGCTCAGTGGTTAAGTGTCCCTCGATTCGATCCCCAGTATCAAAAAACAAAACAAGAAGTGAGGCTCTTTGCAGAGCTGGGCATCAAACCCTGGGGCCCTCAGTGACTTCATTTTTGCAGACACAGCACTCTGGCCAACATTGCACCTCAGCAGCTCACCAGCAGCACCACCCCAAATACCTCTGAGGCACAAACAAATTTGGCAATGGCCTTCTTGCTCAGTGCCTCGGGCCTAAAGAGATGAACTATTGGCTGTTTTCAGAGGTGAAACTTGGGGCAGATTTTCATGATAAATGGGACCTTTTATCTTTACTTCCCCACAGACAGCTGCTAGTTCCTCTTTTCTGTCTACATCACTTACCTAAAACCTGAGGTCAAGGTTTTCATCTCTTCATCTGTCTGGTAAAGTCATAATTTTATTGTTACTGGCCAGGGATGTCTTGTGCCAGATGTGGTGGTGGACATGTGTAATCCTAGTGACTTGGAAGGCTGAGGCAGAAGGATCACAAGTTTGAGGCCAGCCTCATCAACTTAGACTCTGTCTCAAAATAAATAAATATATAAGTAAATAAATAAGGGTGGGTATATATCTCAGTGGTAAAGTGCCCCCAGGTTTAATCCCCAGTCCATCACCCCTAACAACAGAATTATTTCTGGTTCATTCAAAACTCATCTTGTCACTTAAAACTATACAATTATTTATATATAATATATAAATTGGAAATTTTTATATATTAAATATTATATATATTATATATAAATATTATATATTTTGGAAAGTAAAAAAATAGAAAAGTAGGGCTGGGGTTGTGACTTAGTGGCAGAGTGCTTGCCTAGCATGTATGAGGCACTGGGTTTGATTCTCAGCACCATATATCAATAAATAAAGGTCCATTGACAACTAAAAAAATATTTTTAAAAAATAGAAAAGTAGAAAGTATCCCCATATGTTTTAAAATACAATCATTGGGTATTTTTTTTTTCCTGCCAACAAATAAATGCCAAGACGTGACTTTGATTTTGACAAGGCTCTTAAAATTTGCTATATCGAAGACAAAGTTGCCAGGCCTCAAATGGCGTACTTTAAGAAAAATAAAGATATTTCCTGTTAATAAAAGTATAGAAAATAATGTAAAGAACATCAGCTCACCACTTAGTAAAATCTGTGACATGTTCCCACTTTTTCTGTAGAGTTGTTTTTTTTTTTAATGTAAAGTAAATCGTTAACAGTTATTGCTGAAGTCTCCTGTGGATTCCACCCTGCCATTATCCTCTGTCCGTGCCCAGAGGTAAACACCACTCTCATTTTGATTTTTCCATTCCCATAAGTGTTTTGGTATGTTATATGTGTATATATATTCCCAAATGATACATGATTTTGTTTTGCTTATTTCTAAGCTTTGTATAAATCATACCATACATGTCCTTTCCCCTCTTGCTTATTTTCCCCAATTCAATGTTTTTTGAGATTAATTCATGTTGATGTGTGTCATTTGTGTTCACTCATTTTAACTTCAGCATCATATTCCATTGCATAAATATGCCACCATTTGTTTATTCATTCTCTTTTTTATGGACACTTAAATTGTTTCCAATATTTTGCAAACAGTGGGTGTAGAGAACATTTTTTTACATGGTCAAGTTCTCTAAAGGATGTAAGTAAAAATGCTCTATTAGGTTATAAGTATCTTCAAGCAAGATGATATTACTGTTTCCATGCTTGTATCAATTTATAGTCACTATAAGTTTGAATTTCAATGCCACATCCATTTCAAGTTTGTTTGTTTGTTTGTTTTAATAGTCCTGGGCATCAAACCCAATGCCTTATGCATGCTAGGCAAGCCCTCTACCAGTGAGCTACACCCCAAACCCAGTCTTTTTCTTTATCAAACTTTAAAATTTTTGACTGTCTGATAGATATGAATGACATGTATTTATAGTTTTTTTAATATTTATTTTTTAGTTTTAGGTGGACACAATATCTTTGGGTTTTTTATTTATTTTTTTTATGTGGTGCTGAGAATCGAACCCAGTGCCTCACTCATGCTAGGCAAGCACACTACCACTTGAACCACATCCCCAGCCCCTGTATTTATAGTTTTAATTGGCATTTACCAATTACTAATAATGCAATGCCTTTTGGGCATTTGAGTTTCCTCTTATGTGAATTACCTATTTGTATTCTTTGTCTCATTGATTTTTTTTTTGTGTGTGTGTGTGTGTGTGCTAGAGATTGAATTTTTAGGGTCTCACTCATGAGGAGCATGTGCTCTTAACACTGAGCTACATCCCCAACCCCAGTCTTTTTCTTCTTGATCTGTAGGAATTTTTATGTGTTCTGCATATCATTCCTTGGTCAATATTATACTTAGCCTCTTCTGGTTTGTGGTTTTGTTGTTGTTGTTGTTTCTTTTTTCTTTTTTGAGACAGTGTCACTAAATTGCCAAGACTGGTCTAGAAATTTCAGTCCTCCTGCCTCAAGCTCCCAAGTAGTTTGGATTACAGGTGTGCACCTCTGTGCCACCTAAGTTGTTCTAGATAAAACACTGATATCTTCCCAGAGCCTTTTTTCCATTGTCAAAATTATAATTACCATAGCCTTACAGTAATAGTGTCTCTTGTTCATTAGTTTGTCTTGGCAAGTTATTAAACATATGGATCATTGATGTTCTCATCTATAAAATAGAAATAACTACCTTCATAAGGACAGGGCCTCATGAAAACTGAATGTGATAAGCAGCTGGGCACAGTGACTTACACCTGTAATCCCAGCTACTTGCAAGACTAAGGCAAGAGGATCAAAAGTCCAAGACCAGCCTCTGCCACTTAGACCATGTCTCAAAATAAAATTTTAAAAATGGCTTGTGATGTAGTTCAGTGGTACAGCACTGGCCTGCCATGCTGAAGACCCTGGGTTCAGTTCCCAATACCAAAACAAACAAACAAGATGAAGACTAAATGCTAAATGTGATAAAATATTCCTAGCATCATTCCTAGCCATTGGTGGTCAGACAGAAAAGTTGATAGCCTTCCAAATAATTAGCATCCAGAACAAACAGGAAAAGGTGGATTGTTGCAAAGATTTATTTAAATTTGGTTAACTCTCCTACATTCTCACTAGCATCCAGGAAAAAAAAAAATCTAAAAACAGCGATAGTAAATTACCATTTTTTGCCTAATGAATAACCAATATATTTATGAAAGTTTTCATTGCTGATGAGAGTGAGCCTGGGCTGCTAGCAAGTGTGTATGTATTCTTCATTTGTAAAGAGGTTCAGATGTGAGGCTGGTCTAGGGCTCAGTGATAATGTGCTCACTTGGCACACATGAGGCACTGGGTTCGATCCTCAGCACCACATAAAAAAATAAAAAATAGGGATATTGTGTGTGTGTGTGTGTGTGTATATATATATACCCACCTACACACACACACACACACACACACACATATATATATTATATATAAAATATCTGTCTGTGTATAAAAAGAGGTTCATATGTGTCAGGAACCCTAAAAATGTACTGCTTTGGCCTCTCCCAAAGACTGCCATTCATGCACCTAGAATATGTATACAGGGCTGTCCACTACCTCACCATTTGTTATTTTTTTAAAAATACATCTTCATTTTATTTATTTATGTGATGCTGAGGATTGAACCCAGTGCCTCACACATGCAAGGCAACCACTGTACCGCTGAGCCACAACCCCAGCCCACTATTTATTATTAATGATAAAAATCTAGGAACAAACTAAATAGATGGTTTAATATCTTAAACACACACACACACACACACACACACACACACACACACACCCTACAGAATATTGTATAGCCATTAAAAAATCATGATTTTTTTTCCCAATACTGGATATTGAGACCAGGGCCTCACACATGTTAGGCAAGCACTCTACAACTGAGCTACATCCCCAGCCCTTTTTTATTTTGAGGCAGGGTCTCACTAGGTTGCTGAGGCTGGCTTCAATCTTGAGATCCTCCTGCTTTAGCCTCCCAAGTAGCTGGGATTCCAGGCATGCACCATTATGCCCAGCTTCATGATTTTTTCCAGACTGCCAAGATGGGAAATACAAAAACTTTATATATTAAAGTGGAAAACCCAGGTTATAAAACTGTATACATACATATATACACATGCACAGAATATTGATTCTGATTTAGTTTTAAGTGCACAAACTGAACAGCAGGAATTTTACCACATTTAACTGTAGTTTCTTATTTTCCCAGAATAAAGAAATTAAAAGTATTTTTTGTTGTTTATTTTCCAAATTTTCTGCAATGAGAGTATATTATGTATATAATTAGGAAAATGTGATTAATCTGATGGATTCATTAGTTATCATGTCCCTGTGAAGTGGCTGGTAACACACTGCTTTCCCCACAGCTGCTGCTGGACACCCACTCCCTGAAGATGGTCCTGCTGGACCTCCCTTCCATTGGCTCACAGGTGGTGAGGAAGGCACCTGCCAGTTACACTAAGATTGTCGTGAAAGGCATGACCCGGGCTGAGATGATCCTCAAGGTAATGATTGTGTCTTCCTCAAGGATCCTGTTTTAAGGAACTGGTCATATATCTAATCCCATATCCAGGGGGTTCTGATTTTGAAAGCCCAGCATAAGGCCTATCCCCACCAGTCCTAAGGATCATCTGCATCCTTTGTTTAGACTAAATGTTGGCCTCATCAAATATTATTTGAAGTCAGTGGACAATTACTTGGGGACCAGTAATTCTTTCAGATGAAGGAATTCTTTGTTGTCATGAGATTTTCTTGTAATAAGATTTGGCCAAGACTGAGAGTTAGAAGGAGTTGCCATTGTGAATCAAGTTGTATAAGTTAGGAACTTTGCCTCTCAGCAGGAACATCAGTTATCCTCCCCTCCCACATAAGCCTTTTTGGCTTTCTGTGCTTTACCATCTTTAAATGAACTCAACAATGTTGTGGTAACAGAATCTAATCAGCAAATGGGTTTTTTGTTTGTTTCTTTGTTTTGATTTTAGCATCACTTAACAAGATATTGTACTTCAGCTGGTGCTGTCAAGAATGTCTTGAACACCTACCATGATTTCCAACGATAACATGAGAAGAGGGGCAGAGGCTAGAGAACAAATAGTACTACCTGATAAGGCCTGAAAGTCCAGGGCCTGTAGGCTCTTCAGGCTCTCTTCCCAAACAATAACTCAAATGATGACAGGAAAAAAAAGTAGCAGCAGCCCACAGACACCATGGGACCAGGCAAAGGCCCTGCATAAGCCTTGAGCCATGGCCTGAGGAAACTGGAAGTAGCCTGATGGATTCTTCTCCAGCTGGTGTCCTCTCTGCAGAGAGAGCATACAGTTTGGGAGTGATCTGCCAAGGACTTTTGAGGGAGATACTCCTCACTGCTCCCATACATTCTCAGGAATTCAAAATAAAATTATTTTGCTGAGGGAAGAAAAATCAGATTCTGCTTTCCAAAACCAAATGGAAATGAATCTGAGGGTTGCAGTGCCATCTGTTTGTATATTAATTGGTAGTTTAAGTAAATGTAGTTAAATGAAGTTCCAGATTTTAGGTCTTCAAAAGAGTAAGGAGCCTTTGGGATTTTTGTTTTTGAGAAGATCCACTCACATCAATTCCTTTTGTTGCCCGATTGTCAAGAATAGACAGAAGGAGTTGGGTATGGCACACACCTGTAATCCCAGTGACTCAGGAAGCTTAGGCAGGAGGATCACAAGTTCAAGGCCAGCCTCAGAAATTTAGGCCTTAAGCCTCTTAGTGAGACCCTGTCTCAAAAAATAAAAAGGGCTGGGGGTATAGCTCAATGGTAAAACTCTCCTGGGTTCACCCCCCAGTACCAAAATAACAAAACAACAACAACAACAAAATGACAGAAGGAGCAGGCACTAGGTACCCATGAAAGGTCCAACCGGAGACCTTTGACATTGTGTTTCCCAAATGGTCCCTATTTTTTAAAAACATCTCCTGCCCAGACCCACTGAATTAGAATACACAGAAAAGAGACCCAGAAATCTGCACATTAAAAAGCAGTCCTCCAGAGGGTTACAGTGGCACACGCCTGTAATCCCAGTGGATTGGGAGGCTGAGGCAGGAGGATCCTAAGTTCAAAGCCAGCCTCAGCAACAGCGAGGCACTAAGCAACTCAGTGAGACCCTGTCTCTAAATAAAATACAAATAGGGCTGGGGATGTGGTTCAGTGGTTGAGTGCCCCTGAGTTCAATCCTTGGTACCAAAAAAAAGGGGGGCTGGGGATATAGCTCAGTTGGTAGAGTGCTTGCCTCGCATGCACAAGACCCTGAGTTCAATCCCCAGCACCACCAAAAAACAAAAACAAAAAAATGGCAATCCTCCAAGTACACTGGTGTACCCTGTAATCCCAATGGCTTGGGAGGCCGAGGCAGGAGGATTGTGAGTTCAAAGCCAGCCTCAGCAATGGCAAGGTGCTAAGCAACTTAGTGAGACCCTATCTCTAAATAAAATATAAAATAAGGCTTAGGGGCTGGGGGTGTGGCTCAGAGGTAGAACATTTGCCTAGAATGAGCCTTAAGGGCCTTCTGTGTCCCTTCCCTTGGTAGGTAGTGATGGCCCCCCATGAACCATTGGTGGTGTTTGTGGACAACTACATCAAACTCCTTACAGACTGTAACACAGAAACCTTCCAGAAGATACTGGACATGAAGGTGAGCTCAGTATCTTTTCTTGTCAACTCCTACTCATCCTTCTTACTCTAGGGGGTGGGATATGGGTTATGGAGGGGCTGCCTCAAAAATGCAAGTTGTGGACCCAGAGTGGTGGGTTGAAATCCCAGCAACTCAGGAGGCTGAGGTAGGAAGATCACAAGTTTAAGGCCAGCCTCAGCAATTTAGCGAGACACTGTCTTTAAAAAATAAAAAGGGGCTGGGGATATAGATAAGTGGTAGAGCACTTCTGGATTCCATCTCCAGTACAAAAAAAAAAAAAAAATCCATGTTGCTAGTCCTCCCTGCAACCTGGATTCCAGGAGGGTAGTCCTGGGCATGTTAGCTTCAGGGTTCTGGACCACCCTGCATGCTTGGAAGCTACTGCTCAGGAGAGGACAGAATGGAAGGAGCAGGAAGATCATCCTTCCATCTTTACCTGTCCTCCTTTCTTCACCCTTTCTTTCTCTCCTACCCAATTCCTTCATTATTTCCTTCCTCCACTTTCTCCCAGGCTACTACTGAAGGCTGATAATTTCTCTGAAGAAAGCTTTTGTCCTTAGCCTGAAATAATTATGCTGATGGTAGAAGCCATGCCAACAGCAGACCCAGAGGTGCACTCTCTCTTTGGGCTATTGCAGAGCCACCTCCTGACCACTAACTCTCCTCTCTCTTCCACCCTCAGGGGCTGAAGAGAAGTGAACAGAGCAACATGCTGGAACTCCTGCGCCAGAGACTTCCCACCCCGCCCTCAGGGGCAGATGGCTCCAGCTCTCTGTCCCTGATGGCTCCTACACCAGAGCAGGAATCATCTCGCATCCGCAAACTTGAGAAACTAATTAAGAAGAGACTTTAGGAGCACACGAGGGGCACCGAACACAGTTCCTGGAAGCCCCAAGTGCCCCTGTACCCCTCCCCTACTCAGTGACTCTTATATCCTCAGTCATGAGTTTTTGGGACATTGAGGTTGCTACTGTGTCTCTCCCATGCCCTGTCTGAACTCCTATCCCAGTGGGAGAAGCTGACTAAGGGCTGGGTTATAAAAAGGCAGTTTAGATTATCTCTCATTGCTGCCATGGAGGCAGCAGTGGGTGAAAGGCCCCTGTGGTTCAGTTGCTGTTTCCAGGCTGCCCTTGAAGGTCAAGTTGTCATTGGCTCTTGGAGCCTCACCATGGCAGCCATACCCTCCAACACCTGGGCCCTACTCCCTGCCACATGCCTGTCCAGCAACTTGGATGAGGAAGCCTGGATCTTGCTCCTTCCCCCTTCTGCCACTACTGGAGGTCACCTCTGCAGCCAGAACGCTGAGAATGTTCCTGGAATTGGTTGAGTGAATGGACTGCCAGATCACAGGGCTTAGTACTACCCTTTATGAAGACAGTGGAAGCATGTGCACTTTTCCTTGTAAATCACAGTTTCCTGGTACCTTCTATGACATGGCCAAGTTTCCTGTGTTCTCATTTCTTGTTACTCTCCAAAGGAGAAAGGCCCTCTGTGTCTGTCACTCTGGAGGGCTGTATGAACCAAGCCTTGGAAGCAGACCAGGCTGGGGCTGCTGACCTGGCGAGGAGACAGTCCCAGATCTGACAGAGGGTTCTGGGGCTTGGGGTGTGGCTCAGTGGTAGAACGCTTGCCTGGCATGTGCAAGACCTGGGGCACCGAACCCTGTAAAAAATAACAAGTGGGTCTTGCTTGGCACAGTCACTGTGTTATGTGAGATTATTTTCTCCATTTCTTTATTCTCATTCTGTTCCTAACTTCTTGGGAAGCAGTTAGTTGTCTTCTATATAGGAAAACCAGAAAGTTCTCTTGGAAAACCTTTCCTAGTTCTTTCCTGCAGATGAACTATGGGAGGGAATAGATAGTCTGTACCATCTGATGTCCTTCCTGCTCATTCACTTTCAAATCCAGAGAACTCTCCAGAGTCACCTGAAACAACAAAGGTGGTATACAGTGCATACATCACACTATTAATGAGAGAGAACCTGGGTCCTTGGATACCAGGAACACAAGATTGACCTTACTCTCCAAGCTCAGAACTAGCCTGGCCCAGAACACAGCCTGGGCCCAGACTGCCCTTCATGTCCACCCACTGGCTCTAAGCAGCAGAACTTTGCAGAAAATTGCTCTACAGAGCCACTTCAGTCCCCTGCATCATCCTACATACAGAGGACAGGCACCATACCAGGTAGTTTCCCTAATTCTCTTGGTTTGCTTGAACCCAAGGCTCATCTAACCATGACCATGACCTCGGGGTGGCCACCATTGGGGAGAGCCCTGAGGTGGAAGGTGGAGCTCTCTATAGAGGAAGTGTGTAACAGGCCTCAGGATCAAATTGGATTATCAAATAATGCTCAGAACTGAGTTTTTAGGACAGAGGAAGTTTTCTGAAAATCTGTAAAACTTGTGACGGCCATACAGGAGAAAACTTTAAGGTTTGAAAAGCTGGTGAGAAACATTGGCTGTTTGTCCCCATCTTGTTTTTCCAGTATACTATTCCACACTGTTTCCCTCCCTCCCTCCCCACCTCTGTCCATTAGTTCCAGGTTTGAAACCCCACCTCTGCCCTGTGCTGGAGATGGAACCCAAGACCTCAGGCATGCTGGGTAAGGCATGTTCTATCACTAAGCCACATCCCCAGCTACAGAGCCTCATTTCTTCATCAGCTTCCAGCCTGTCCTTGCTAATTAGTAGAACGCTTAAGTATTGAAAACACTAAGAAGAAAATCAGTAGTGAAGAGATATGGCCTTTAGTTGAGCTCTGTTAGAAGATTCAAGATTAGAGAAGTGCAGGAGGAGTGGGGAGGGGGTTGGGAGGCTCAGTCTAAGAGGGATTCCTCTGTGCTATCATGTTGCTTTGGTAAGGTTATATGCACTAATTGAAAGAAGGGGTGGTGGGCCAGTCTCCAAACAGCACAGCCAATTTAGCCGTCTGTCATCGACCTAGGGAGGCTGGGAAAGCCAGTGGACTCCTGCACCTGGTTCTTGTCACTCTTCAGTGTTTACAGATCCACACTTCTCTTTTTAGTTCATTCATGAGGAGTCATTTTTCTGGACATCTCCATAATGGCATTGAGATGTCAGACTGCTGTTTTTCTCAGTTGGTGGTCACCGCCAGGGAAGTTGCTTTCCTGATTTATTACATTGTCAGAAATCCCCAAGGAGCCAACAGATGTCATTTGGAGTTATGTTCAGTGTCTCATTGATGGGGACTGAATACCGGGTGTGCATCCTGGAGAGACAGCATGTTTCTCACCTGAGGGTATGCATCAGAATCACCTGGGGCCCTTTTAAAAAATTGTAGATGCCTGGAGATTTTGACTCTTAGTAAGTCTGCAGTGGGGCCTGGCGTGTAGGCTTAAAAGCTCCATAGGTGATTACATTTGTCTGTCAGTATCCACGGAGGATTGGTTCCAGAACCCCCTCCCTGTACTCCAGTGGATATCAAAATCTGCAGATGCTTGAGTCCCCTCATATAACTGGCATAGCATTTGCCTACACTTTAAACACATCTTCCTGTATACTTTAAATCATCTCTAGACCTCTTATAATACCTAACTTGGTAGAAATACTACACAAATAGTTGTTGTACTGTGTTATTTAAAGATCTGTACTTATTCCATGTAGGCACAGTTTAAGTGTTGTTGTTTGTTTGTTTGTTTTCCAAATACTTTTGATTGAATCCACGGTTGTCTATCCACAGATATAGATGACTGACTGTGTGAGGTTTATTCTTTGCTAATAACCATTGCAATACAGAGAAATTTACTTTATTAAAGGGTTCCTGTAGCCCATTTTCATAAATGTATATTTTTCTGGTTCTCCAAGTGTAACTACAGTACAGTGGTCTTTGCTTATAGCTAGCAGCTTTAGTTTCAAACTCATTTAGGACATGCCAGGAGTTTCACTCTCATTCAGTACTGATGAATAGTCTTCCTCTTTTGATGACCAAACCTCAAATAGAAGCTTTATTTATTATTGCCACTTCAAAATAACATACATAGCCAGGTGCAGTGGTACACACTTGTAACACCAGTGACTCAGGAGGCTTGGGCAAGAGGATCACAAGTTCAAGGCCAATTCCAAAAATTTATGCCTTAAGCATCTTAGTGAGACCCTGTCTCAAAAAATAAAAAGGGCTGGGGGTATAGCTCAATGGTAAAACTCCCCTGGGTTCAATTCCCAATACAAAAAAAGAAAATTAAAAATGACAGAAGGAACAAGGCACTGGGTGCCCATGAAATGCTTCCAACAGGAGACCTTTGACACTGTGTTTCCCAAATGGTTCCTATTTTTTAAAAACATCTCCTGCCCAGGCCCACTGGATTAGAATATACAGAGAAGAGATCCAGAAACCTGCACATTAAAACACAATCTTCCAGCTGGGCTTAGTGTCACACCTGTAATCCCAGTGGCTTGGGAGGCTGAGGCAGGAGGATCCCGAGTTCAAAGCCAGCCTCAGCAACAGTGAGGCACTAAGCAACTCAGTGAGACCCTGTCTCTAAATAAAATATAAATAGGCCTGGGGATGTGGCTCAGTGGCTGAGGTCTCCTGAGTTCAAACCCCGGTACCTCCCAAAAATGATGGCAATGTACATAAGGAGTAGCGATTGATTAAAGCAGCATCTGATAACTGTAGTTCAACTAACCTTGAATATTATCTCCATTCCTCCCCTACTTTCTCTAGCCTATTTAATTTTTTTTTTATATATATATGATGATACCCGAGATTGAACTCACAGGCGCTTAACCACTGAGCCCCATCCCCGGACCTTTTTTATTTTTCATGTTGACACAGGGCCTCACTAAATTGCTGAGGCTGGCTTTGAACTTTTAATCCTCCTGCATCCGCCTCCCGGGCTGCTAGGATTACAGGTGTGCGCCATTGCATACAGCTCTCTAGCCTCTTTAAAAACAAAAACAACTTTGAAGTCTCCTCGTGGTTAAAATAAATATTGATAAATTATAAATCGCTAAAGAATTCAGTGTTGCTCTTATTATGGAGAGGCTTCCTGGAGAGCTGGCTTAGAGGTGCCAGGGTGGAGAAGTCCTGTTTGGACTATACCCGTGAAGCGGGAGCTACAATAGACAGGGAAGTTTCCATTTCCAAGTTGAGTTCTGAAACTGAAGCTAATGCCGCTCCTTCCTCTCTGGTGGTGCCTAGTGTGTGAGGCCCTAGGTTCAATCCCCAGTGCTGAAAAGCAAAAATAAAAACCTTCCTCTCTGGCAGAACAAAGAGCCAGTACCCAAGACTCTGCCCAGCACCCACAGAAGGTGCCTATTTTCTCATGTCTAGGTAGTGCCTTGGTGTGGATCAAACAGATGTAACAGTGACAGGGCAGACAGGGTGGGAGAGCAGGCCCAAGGCTGCTGCCCGATGTGGGGGATGTTCCACGGGCTCCTCCTGAATTGCTGTTGAACAAGGAAGCTTGGTTCCCTGTTTACAGAATACTAGGGGAAATGCCAGAAGTGAACAGCTGGAAATGTAATTCCTCTCCCTAGGAAGAAAAGTCTCAAAATAACTAACTTGCTTGAAGGTGAAGGCAAGCGTTCCACACTTTTTTGTCTACTCCAAGTCAGATTCCTAAAAATAAAATGGTTAGAACTGACTGCATTGGGCCATTTAAGCACTAGCCTTGGAAACATGGACTCATGAAAACCCATGCAGATGTAAGGAATACCATTGCATTTTATATATTAAATAAAATTTTCCAGTCCCATCCTAGCATTCATCAAAATAGCTTCTTGGACCCTCAGAGTTCTACACCTTTGGGAGATCTAAATTGCTTTAAAATAAAGGAATTACTTTTTGTGTAAATATCTTTCATTTTGCCCATCTGGAAGTGATTTCTTGGTGCATATTGGAGCACAAAATACTACAGTTAATTAAAGCATTACTGGATGTCATTTGCTAGAATGTCTTTCCCTACTGCTGACAGAAAACAGAAGGGACTATAGGAAAGAATTAGCAAGCCCATGAACTTTTTAGGCTCCCCTTCCAGTGACTGTCTGCTTCCTGGTGAAGAAGCAGGTAGAGACCCTTTCCCTGGCCATCTAAGGAAGCAATGCACAAGAGGACATTGAGGCAGATCACAAGCCAGGTGCTGGCCTGTCCATCGGTGGGGCAGCCTCTCTGAGTATGTATAAAGGGTTCTGCTTCTCGTTTGGTATCTCCTTGTATTCTGAGTTTCTACCCCATTACCTTTCCCTTCCCTACCCTTCCTGTCTCAGTCACATCCTGCTTTCCCATGTGACCAACGAGCAATTCCTCTCCTGTATACAGTAAGTTAATCTTGTTTTCTTCATTACAGGGTGGGCATTTTGCAACAAAAACTTTTTTTGAGAAGTCTGATATCTCTTTCAACAGTGGAAGGTCTATGGCACCACTTCCGTTAGATTGGCCTCAACATCGTTGCCCAGTTTTCATTGTTTATCGTCACCAGCTCCCCCACTTCAGTAGGGCAGCCAGGGATCAGTCCAATAGACAAAGAAACACTTCCTCATTTCCCACCCTGGAAGGCTGTGATAGATGATTTACCTACCACTTCTCTGCCTTCTCACTTACACAATCAGGCTTGGGAGAAGTGGCCTATGAAGAATGTGTCCATTTGAAAGCACACAGGGTAGGCAAACTTCCACGGAAGTCCTGCTGTCAGGTCTGGTTCTGGCACCTTGGCATTGGGCGAGTCATTGATCTTCT